TTTGAATCAAAGCTGAGTCATGGTGGTCACAAACATCTAGTTTTTTTTACACATTACAGCCCATTTCCACCTTTTCTTTTAAAAAACAGACAGACTCTGATGTTTCCTGTCAGCCCTTTAACAGCTTTGGCTTTTGAAAGCTGATAGATAGTTTGTTTACCTCTGTGTAACCATCTGTCTGCCACCTGTGAGCAAAGAAAACATGCAGATTCATCCTCTACTCAACAGTTTCTCTCTGTAAAAGGGTTAGATTTGATCACAGCCTGCTTTGTAATGTTTAACGCTTCAAAGCTTGATCCAAGAAAAATAGGAAGAATATTGGATTTTTTTAGTCTGAAGTCTTTCTTTGGCCCCTCAACAACATATGAAGAACAAAAAACACAAATTATTTTGAGCAAATTAGCGTGCAGTAAGTCAAATATATATTTTGGTGTGGTCTTCTACTGGCTGTTATCAGGTATATCTGAATGTGAACAACAGGGGTTTGAGCAAAGCTTTTACCACTGAATGATGCAAAAAGTCTCAGATCCAAAAGACTTTAGAAACCGTATGAATCAGATATGACACATTTGGCATTATAGGGTTAAAATGTGTGTTTCCCTCTTTCTAGCAGACCTTATGCCCGAGTGGGCGGGGCCAGGTGGGCGGGAATTTGCTGCCGTGTGTGGATGGGACCCTCCTCTGAGGGCCCCCCCAGCTATTTATATCACGCTGTGGGAAAATCACAGTGTCATCTGGATGGTTTATGTTTCCCCCCCGCACGCACTCAAGCAACACACCGCCCTCCTGCCCAGCTCCTCCAGGCTCACACAACCTGTGTTATCACCAGAGATGTACAGTAACTCAAGTACTGTACTTAACTCATTGGCTGCCAAAGACGTCTATAGACGTCTTTTATGTTTTTCAACGAGAGTGGCTTGGGGGACGATCTGCTAAAGCTTGTCCGTAAATATCGGCTTCTAGACAGAGTATGTAGTAACAAATTGAGCCTCTAGGGGGCAGTACCACTTTTGATGGGAGATGAGCATAGATTGTAGGCAAATAAAAAAAACGCAATGGTTCGCTATGCGAGAAATGGCGCCGGTGAGACGCAAGTCGAGGAAGAACGGAATAAGGTAGAAACAATTTTTTTTTTCCTGATGAAAGAAGAGAGTCTACTCTTTCTTTTGGTGTGTTCGGTGTTTACATAGTCATAGCACAAACTATTCTGTGGCTCTTGAAAAATCAGTCAAAATGCTCAAAAAACTCTGGCAGTGAGGGACTGTCTGTTCTGAAAATGGCTGGCAGTCAATGAGTTAACTACCAAAGTACTTTATTGGAGTGGGCAGATGGCCGCCCACCCTGAGCCATGGTTCTGCTCCAGGTTTCTGCCTGTTAAAAGGAAGTTTTTCCTTGCCTGTGTCGCCTAGTGCTTGCTCATGGTGGGAATTGTTGGGTTTCTGTAGTTAACTTCAGAGTAGGGTCTGACCTGCTCTGATTGGAAAGCTCTGAGACAACTGTTGTTGTGATGTGGCGCTATGTAAATAAAATTGAATTGAAACTTGTACTTTTAGTTATACTTGTACTTTCGATACTTGAGTAGCAATTTTTTAAAATACTTCTACTTGCAATACTTAAGTAAATAAAAAATGGGGTATTTCGGTACTTCCACTTAAGTATGGAGATGAAAGAACACTTCAACTTTTACTCAAATCACTGTTTTTATATAGTACTTGCACTTCTACTCCAGTACTTTATACGTCTCTGGGTATCACTGAGCTAAAGCAGCCTCCAGACACACTCACCTCCCAGATTTAGGCTCAGCTGCTCAGG